CCCGAGATCGCCCCTGAACTAATCGACACGATCCCCATGGTTGTGGCAGAAAGCTGCAATGAAAAATCACTGGCAAAGATGGTACAGCAAACTAAGGTGGTGGTGTCCCTGGTGGGGCCCTACAAGCTCTACGGTGAACTGCTGGTCAAGGTCTGTGCTGAGAACGGTGTGCACTACTGTGACCTAACCGGGGAGATCGTGTGGATCGAGGAGATGACAGCCAAGTATGCGGCCACTGCGGCGAAGACAGGCGCAGTGCTGGTCAACTGCTGCGGCTTCGAGAGCATCCCGTCAGACCTCACGACGTTCCTCGTAGCCGATCGCATCCAGAAGAAGCTCAACTCGGCCACGAGCACAGTCGACCTCTACTTTACGGATTTTAAGGGTGAGGCGAGTGGTGGTACTCTGGCTTCAGTGTTTGCCGTTATGGAGACGTCGACCAGCAAGCAATTGCTAGCCTCGCGTAACCCGTTCTTCCTGACGGACGACAAGACGATCGCTGAGAAGCAACAGGCCGGACTGGTGGCGCCCAATACGAGCGGTATTACTGTAAAATACGATAAGGCCATGGGTTTCTGGCACTCGCTCTTTATCGGCGCCTCGGTTAACCAAGCTGTGGTGCACCGCAGCAACTACCGCCTGCATAACAAGTACGGCGACAAGTTCGTGTACCACGAGCGCATGGCCATCGGCGGTTTGTTCATGCAGCTACTGGCTACATTCGGAACGATTGTAGTGGGCATTATGCTCTACTTTGGCTGGACACGTGCACTGCTCAAGCGACTGGCGCGTGCTCCTGGCCAGGGTCCGTCGGAGGAGTCCATGCTTCAAGGCTACTTTATCGCAGAAGCTGCGGGGTACACGGACGACGGCAAACTAGCCGTGAAGGCCAAGACGGTGGGATCGGGCGACCCTGGCTACCGTCTTACGTCGCGTCTCATCTCCGAGTGCGCATTCTGCTTGGCTAAGGACGAGTTCGGCGACGCCAAGAGTCTCAAGGGCGGCTTCTACACGCCGGCCAGCGCGTTCGGACACAAGTTGGCTGACCGTTTGCATACCAAGAAGTTTATCATGTTTGAGCTCAAGGACATGGCGTAAAGAAGTAGCAACGTAACTAGTAAAAAAAAATAGTCAAGGCAACGAAAAGATCCAAGTTGAAGAGACGCATGCCAATCAAACGGCGGATCTTTGCGTTGTGCCCATTCACACTCGAGTAGGCTGCATTAAAACACCTCGACACAATGGGGAACGCTTCTGGGCGAGAACTAAACCAGGCCGATCGAGCTCGGCGTCCTAATGACAAGGAAATGCTCGTGTTGTTCAAGATGCAGCGAGCGTTGTTCCACCGGCTTGTGGCGTCTCCAGAGGTGCGTCACATGGTCGCCCATCGATGGCCCCGCCTACTAACCATCGCTACGTTCATTTCGAGTAGCACCTGCAGTTATTGCAGCGATATTGGACTGCAAGCTTCCGTCGTAAGCACCAGATGCCGGGCTTCGTATTGGTCAGCGATTTGTGGAAGGAGGCCGGGTTCTCGGATCCCAATCCGGCCGCCGACCTGAATCCCATGGGTGAGCTCGGACTACAGTGCCTCGTGTTCTTCGTCGAGACGTATCCAGCCGAGACGGCCATGATGCGGCGAGGTCGCGGGGGCTATCCGTTCGCAAAGGCGGCAGTAGCCATTGTGCGCTCCTTGAGTCTGACGATGCACCTGATGGACATGACGGGGAATCCAGGCCCGTTCCCTGTGACGGACACGCTGTTCTGGCAGCTCTTTGAGCGAGACGACGGGTTCTTTCAGCTCTTCTCGCTCGCCTTCTTGACGTTCGAAGAGCTTTTTTGCGAGGAAGTGGCGGTCAAGCTGTGGATGCGAGACGTGGACGCGTGCTCGACGGCCGTAGTGGACAAACTGGTGGCCGCGGTCCAGCACAAGTTGACGGGCGAACTGAAGAAGGCCCCGCTGAAGCTGGCGGATCTGCGAAACCTCTGCACCAATGGCCGACACATCGTCGACCGGACGGTGGAGAACAGTCGAGCTACTCGTAGAAGATCGTCTACAGGCAGCGAGACGGGTGCGGTATCACGTTGGTCTCAACATCAGACAACCGGACGGAAGAGTATGCGGGAGGTAGGAAAGACGTGGGGCAAGGAGAAGGGAGAAGAGACCCCGCCAAGCAAAGGATACCGTCTGAAGCCGCGAATGCCCGAGATCGAGCGACCCCGCAGCGACAGCTCGCAGACAAGTGGGGTGACCAGCGACGCCGAGGCGCCGTCACCCAGACATCACTGCGCAGCAGAGGACAAGGACGACGAAGTGCCCGACCAAGCAGCGTCTGAGCCGACAGAAGACCTGTTCGCGGGGCTGGTCACCAAGGCGTCAGTTTCCTTCGATTCCAAGCACAGCGAGATCGAGAGCCTCGAGACGCCGGCACCAGCGGCCAGAAGCTGCTAGACGTGAGCCAGGGTGTTTATGGCACGGAGCAATCGCAAAAGATTACGACAATCGAAAAATCGACTAAAGTCACTGTTGCAGCGCTTCAAAAGTGAAGCATCACCCCGTAATCAACTAAAAAAATCCATCCAACGTTCTGCAATTGCCAAGCTCAGATGACTTAACCATTTCTTGATCCGCTACTATGAGCACAGACCAATTTGCTGACTTCATGCAGGGTTCACCGATGGCGAAAGCGCCCACGAGCGACAAATCGCTCTGGGTTCGACTAGTGCGAATGGCGTACGACGGTTCTGGTGATGGCATGATGATGTTGCAGTCTACATTCCCGACGACGCAGATCGTGGAATTCCGTGACGAACACCAGCGATCAGTAACTCACTTGGCCATCATAGCCGGAGATCTGGAGCTTCTGGAGTTTGTACTAGAAAGCGGAGCCACGTTGGATGATTCCGACGATTGCGGAGCCTCGCCGTTGACGACAGCGTTGCTTGGACGTCATTACCAAGCCGCGGATATGCTGGTTGCGTACGGGTGTGACGTCGACCACGTGAACGCAACATTACAGACTTCGATGTATGTGCTGGCCTTGTTCGGAGATTTGAGTGCAGTGCAGTGGCTGCTCGCGAGAGGAGCGGACTTGGAGACTCGGGACGCCGGTGGCAACTCTCCACTGCATCTGGCGGCTGCGTACTGCTCACTGCCCGTTGTTGAGTTCCTGTTAGCGGCTGGAGCGGATGTGAACGCTCAAAACGCGACAGAGGCTACGCCGCTGCATATTGCGGCGCCGAACGGTACCTGTGCGGTGGTCGAGGCCCTGCTCAAGTTTGGCGGCGATTTGGAAGCCATGGACGAAAATGGCAACACTCCGCTGATCAACGCGGCGTTTGTGAGTCAAAGAACGGCGCCGCATTTCGCGTCGGGTGACCAGACGACGCAGTACGCGGTGGTGAGCTTGCTGTTGCAACACGGTGCGGACGTTAACGCTGTGAATAACGAAGGAGACACGGCACTATTTGGTGCAGTGCACAACGAGTACGACGCCGTGGTAAAGCTGCTACTTGCGAACGGAGCTGACGCTCGAGTGCGTAACAATCAACAGGAGACGTTGTTGCATGTGCTGGCCCGCGGCTACGCGTCCAATGTAGTTATCTGGCGAGAACTGCTGCAGCATCAGGTCGACATTATGGCCCGAGATCGACGAAACCTCACTTGTGCAATGGTGTGGACGCGGCGTCAGGGTTTGTATACACAAGATGATGACAGCACGCAGCAGCAAGGCATTGCTTGGATCGAAGGCTTGATACTAAGCGAGTCTGCTGTTGGACCAGCCCATTAAAATTCACGACGAGCACATACAAGCGCATTGCTGGCACCAAAACTATTATACTTAAGTATTCTAAAACCACAAGTATTACTCTACGCGGAAACGTCTTCACGGTGCCATACTTTGAAACGATAGACATTACTCCGTCTTCATGTAAACTCCCGAGGCTATATGAATATTGACAACTGCGACGAGCACCATAAATATTGCGAGAAAAGCGTCATCTTTGTGAAACTTGTTGAAATCAACACCAAAACGGATCTCCAACGGAATCGCGATAATATCCACGACAACCTCGATGCCTATTTGCACCATGACAGTGGAGAACTGAATCTCATGAGTGGAATTGTTAGAGGCATTACCACCGAGCGAAAACCTTGGATTCGAACCGAAGCAAATGATGATGACGTAGGCACAGCACATCGCGATATACTCGCCGTGCATGTCAGCATAGACCTCCGCAGCGTGCAAGGCTGTTAGTTTCTGAACACGAGCGATCCCTTGTAGCTCCGGCGACGACAATGACGCAGTAGTAGATAGCAAGGACTGGACTCGAAGTACTTTCACGACTCCATCTTGAGGATGGACACCAACTCGAGGCAGTGGATACTTGGCCAGAACTTTGTGCGCCTGATGCCTCATTAAAAGCGCAGTCAGCAGTCTCAACACTGTTTTGGCAACAGCAAGCAAAACAGACCCTGCTAAAGTCACGGACTTGCTGTCCAAACACAACAACACTGTGCGTAGCTGCGTGTCAACCAGAATCGTTGGAGCAGCCACGATGATGGCCATTGTGCGTAACGAAGGTGTTTTCTTACGTTTTCCAAGATAAAGTTTAGCAGCGGCTTGAATCATCAACTTGATCGTCTGACTGCACAGTGCAAACACCACAAGCTCCCACTTTTCTTTCAATTCGATACAACTGGCAATATGAACGAACGCACCAGCAGACAGACCAGAGATCACCAGCACGAGATTTTGAGCGAAAACCTTGAGGAACTGCTTCAATGATGGAGATCCACGAGGTTTTCTGGTTGGAAGCTGGTTGAGTTGTTTACTCCGTCGACTGTACCGATTTGCTCTAGCCTGACCGCTGACAGTCTCAACTCGAAAGATGTGGCGCGTGTGTGCGTCGGTGACGGTCAAGATGAAGTTGTAGCACATCATAGGCCAATACACGTCGGCTTTTAATTTGTCGTGAGCGAAATGGTGAGAGGCAATGACAAAACCGATTCCGACACTCAAAACTGTAACCAAAACTATATGAACAAACATGGTCCGCACCAATTTTACGAAAATCCGACCAGGTGAAAGCGTGGACGGCGTCGGAGTAGAAGTGAATGTTTCGGGTAGTAGCTTTGCTACACATTCGGCTATCGTGAAGAACCAACAGAACATCCAGAACCACAACATCTTGGCTGTGAGGAACATCGCATGAGATTGATTCCTTGGTACTGTTTTCGAGAAAATATTGCCATGATCCATGCAAAATGCTAGACACCACGCTATAGCTGCGCTTAGCATCGAGTTGCTTAGTACCGTGCCCAATGTCCGAACAGTTCGCCATGCAATAGTGAGAGGTTGCGAGGTTAATCCGAAGCTGCTGAAGCGTTCAGGTTGGTGCGACGATGACGTTTGATCGAGAGGTTGCACACGGTCATGCCGAAGCTTGACCACCAATTGGGCCCATGTCGTGCCCGTATCGACCAGCATCAGCTTCGGCGGATTTACTAACGCGTGAAGTGGACGCTGGAGAGGCGAGTTTTCCTCGAAATAGACGATGGATTTTTGCTTTGAATAGCGCTCTGCTGGATCATTCCCATTTCGCTGCAGACAGTCTTACAAGACTTTCAAGACAAATGAAATTCACACCGTCCTAATTCAAGGACGAATTTCGGTATCGTTGACAAAAAAAACCCTCGAAGCACAATTGTGACGGGAGAGATGAAGAAGCTGATCGCCGATTAGAGCTGGGGCAAAAGGCAAGAAGGTAAATAATTCTGTGTAAATTTTCTGGCTTGGATGCCGTTGAATTCCAATGAGGTACACCAAGGTGTGGAGCACAATGCGAATTACCGCATAGACGACGAACACTACTGGACTGTAGGTCGTGAATTTTGTAATCTGTGAGCTGGAATTCGACAGCAGCATTAACTTTGAGCATTGTAGCCAGGATGTATTTCATCTAGCTGTCTTCGTGCAGGTAGTCCCGCTCACCAACGTGCACAAATTTGTTTGAGTTGCACCTGCTGAGTGTGTTCGTTTACATCTTGTGACGTCATTGCTGCTTCAACATGGCTACATCGAAAGAGACCTGGGCCGAATATTCTCAACAGCATTATTTATCACAATTTATTACAATATAGATGAGTTCGAATCACGAACTACGCGAACTCATTAAACTACATTAATCCTAATTAAACTAAATATAGAGGTTTATCAAACTCTTCTCATCAATTATCACGGGGTTTCTCGCATTGAACCGCGATGCTGACACCCAGTCTTCACACTCAAACTGGAGCAGAATCAGGCAAGCAGACGCAGGTGCCTGTCATTCCCCAACCGTAGCTGCCACCTCCGCTAGCATCAAGTGCCGTAAGAGACGAGCAAAATGGCCAACCGTAACGCGCAGGAGCTGGCCGAGAACGTCTTGTCGCTCTACGACGTGAGCTCCAACCGTGACGCCACTATCGCCAAGTATTATCTGCCCGACGCCGTGTTCACGGACCCGATCGTGTCTGTGCGGGGCGTGGACAACATCCAGGCGCAGTTCCGCGTCCTGTCCAAGTTCATCAAGTCCAGTAAGGCCACGCTCGTGCGCGGCTCCATGGCCGGCGCTACGGTGCTGACGATCGACAGTTCCCAGGTCTTCCGTCTCAAGCCCTTCCCGAGCTTCATGAAGATCGTACTTCGAGTCTTCTCCGTGCTGGAGCTCAAGAATGGCCGCATCGCATCGCACACGGACCACTACGACTTCTATTCGGTGCTGGCCAACGTCCCGTTCGTCTCGTTCTTCTACACGCAGTTCCGCCCCATGTTCGGCGCCGCCAGCTCCGCCGTGATCAAGCGTCTCGTGCCGCCACAGACCAAGCCAGCCATCTCGGCCAGCAAGGCTGCTGCGCCCGCCGCCAACGGAAACGGCGTGGCGACGGCAGTGGCCACGTAAAGGAGGACGGCCATAAGAGGACAGTCCGGCAATGGACTCTCCGGCCTTTTTGACTAAAAGTTCGGCTGAAATGGAGCGACGGACTTCGTAGTCGACTGATATATTGTTAACAGCGTAGCAGAGGAAGAAGAAGAGAGAGAAAAGCAGACAGAGCTGCGCTATAATCTCAAGTGACCTTTGTTTTAATGCCCGTATTACTAGCGTTGATACGTGAACTGACTCGCATAGTTGATCGACACTTTGTGGATGGAGTGGTGCAGCTACACGTACTTCAATCGTACGTGTGTCGTGTTAGCTATTTGCATTAAGCTTAGGCGTTCTACTACTTCGTTTAGGGCTCACTTCTGCGGCAGTCCGAGGCCGGCGAACGGGTCTCTACCGTTGGAGCGTGCGGCTGAACTACCGCCTGCTGCGACTCCGTTCGGAGAGAAGTAGGTGCTGATGTTCATGCCAGTGTGGCCGCCCATCATCGGCTGCTGTTGTTGGAAGTGCTGCTGCTGTTGGAAGCCTCCATATTGTTGCTGCATGCCCATGTTCATCTGCTGGCCCTGGCCTTGCATTCCCATTCCCATCCCAGCAGGACCACGAGCCTGACCGTAGCCGTTGCTGTTATTGTTCCGCTGAGAAGTACCGTACGCTAGCGACGGTGCCGACAGGCTATCGAACACGCTGAAGTCCTTGGGTGCCGGCGCTGCATTGAACTGGTTCATGATACTTGCCGACGGGTTCTGACTCTGGTTCGTTGGTGCAGTTGCAAACGGATCAAATGGGGTTGACGGCGCGTTCGGCGTCAGCACGTTTCCCCCCGAAGATGCAAATGGGTCGAACGAGCTCGAGTTCGACATTGGTGCAGGTGAAGCTAACGCAAACGCCCCAAATCCGTCATTGTTACTCGACACAGGAGCTGGAGCAGCACTAAAGTCACCAAAACCGTCGTTAGCGGGCTTTGTCGGTGCCGGAGCAGACGCAAATGCACCGAATCCATCGTTCGAGCTCACGGGGGCCGGTGCCGCTGCGAAGTTACCCCATCCGTCATTACCAGAGCTGCTGCTACTCGCTGCAAAGGCGTCAAAGCCTCCGCTCGGTGCTTTGTTCTGAGCCGGGGCGTCAAAGTCCAACAGGTTGGAGACCGGCGCTGCCTTTGCCCTTGGGGAGCTGTTGCTTTTGGCGGTGGAGCTGCTAGTCACCGCGCCACTGAAGCCATCCTCGTCATAGAAAGCTTTGTCATTGTAGATGCGGTTGATAAACTGCTTGTAGTAGTCGAGCGGATCGTCCTTGGTGGGTTTGCGCATCTGGCTCTCGTCCCAGCGGCCGAGCCATACTCGCGCCGCCACGGCGTTGCCGCCGCCGTTCTGCTCTCGCAACGCGTCCACCTCGTCCATCGTCCAGTTGCTCATACTGACGCTCTTTACGCGCATACTGTAGCTCTGGTGCGCGCTCTTGCAGTTGGAGCACACGAAGGTGCGCACTTTTTCGCAGATATTCTGGTGCCCGAAGCGGTTGTAGTTGCCACAGTTGACACACGTCTTGTTGGCCTCCAGCTTCTTGAGCGCGTTCAGCGCAGCCTCTGCTTCCGCCGCCATCTTTGTGTGTTGTTGTTGCTGCTGCTGCTTGGAGTGAAGGTGGCGCAATGGCACGAGAGTGAGCAGCTACAAAGGACGCGTCCTCAAGGTCCTCCCGCTAAAATTGGTGTCGTGGCGTTGTACTGAAACTACCGCGGAACAGTGACGTGGGCACTCTCCAGTCGTGCACAAAGTGATGGTAAACTTCAATATGCAACCATCACTCTGACGATTTTAGTCCGTGGGACTATATTTGGTCCATCATATTTTCTCCCACCTTTTTCTATTCAAACTGCAACTTTTGACTTATGTTTTCTGACAGCAGCATGACGGCGTCTTCGCTGCGCTGCTTCCGGCTGGAGGCTACGCGGGGGCCTCACAGCGGGCTGGTGCTTCGCCATTGCCACGCAGACTATATTTCTTCTTCCCCTCTTTCCCATGAGCTCTCCATTGGCCGCAAGAAACGTTGCTGGCTTCGTCTGCCTCAGGATTTAGAAGTGTCGAGCGTCCACGCCGAGTTTCGTTTTATAGAGAGCGATACGAGCGTCACCCTTCGAGATGTCAAGAGCACAAATGGCACCAAACTCAATGGCAAACCGCTACACCCTCAGCAGGACTATTTACTGACCGACGAAGACGTCATCAGTATTGGTAGAACCAGTCTGCGCGTCGTTCAGGTGGTGCACGGACGACCGTGTGGCGAAGAGATGGAAACTAGCGCTGCTGGTGGTAGTAGTATACTAACCCCAAGTATATCGTCTTCAGTAGCTCAACCTACCGCAGTTCCGAAGATGATAGTGCTGGGTGATTCGACTGAGGACAAAGGGGTGGCTTCTAATACTACTGGATCAAATGGGACCACAGAAGACCAACCGGATACTGAGCCAGCTCACGATGAATTGCTGTTAAAACCGGTTATTAGTGGTGGTAAAAGCAAAAAGAGACAAGGCAGTGTCAAGTTGCAGAAATCGGAGTCTAATGGTGATGCCAGAGTTGGCGCTGTGGGCGAATATACTCCGGAGGAAGCCACGTGTACAGTGTGCAGAGTGGTGATCGGACAACTGGATCTACTGGAGCAGCAGTCGCACTTGAACGTGTGTCTCGGTGGCCGTGTAGTCGCCCCCTCTACTGCGTCTTCGTCGACTGCTGCCATGGATGCAGAACCGAAGTCACTGAAACGAGGAAATGCGGGGAGTGCGTCTGCTAGAACTAAAAAGCCGAGAAAGACGAAGGCGGGGGAGGAAGGTCACGATCCTGCTGCTCCTAAGACGAAGAAACCGAGGATACGAAAGCGAGCTAACGCAGGGGAGAGTATTGAGCTAGCACTAGCGTTGGCGGGCAAGAAGATGAGCAAGGAGGAGCAGACTGATGTGCAGCTGGTAGCGACGAAGAAGAAGCTTGAGCAACTTGATGAACAAATTGCGAAATTGACTAAAAGACGCATGAACCTTGTGAAAACGCTCGACAGATTAGAGAGGACGAAGGAGAAACTGAGGAGATCTCAAGTGTTGCCTCCAGCAAAGGTGCTCCAGCTTCTGGATCTGAAGGCTGCGCTGACTGCCATTTTTCCAGCCAACCGGCGGGCCAACCCAGACGCTCGGACTGTAAGCACAGAACGTTCAGAAAACACTTCTGCTGTGGCGAAGCACTATGCTCCACTGCGATGGAGTGAGAGTGGAATTACAATTGAGTGCGATGAAGAGAAGCGAGCTGAGTTGACAGCGGTGGCTGCTATTTCCATGTGGGCACGCGCTTCGCAGCAACTCTTTGGTCTACAACGTGATACATTGCTGTATCGCAATAGTATACTACGAGCATTTCTTGGCGATGATGATACTGATAGTAGTATCATGAAACTAGACAACGACGATGCAGATGATGAAGACGGAGCTGCAGATTTTGAACAAAAGAGTGAGTCAGAAGAGAAATCGGAAGCTAAGCTCAGTCTTCCTCAAGCGGACTCAGAAGTTCCGGATGTAGTGAAGCGCGTGTTCCTGAACTGGCAGCGTGATTTAGAATTTTTAAATGAGCAGACAGCAGAGGAGCTTGAAAGCGCTCTCGAGGCTATCAACGAGGCCCAAGCACGAGCTCAAGGAGACGAGGACCAACGAGAAGGACCTTATAAAGAGGATGGAGACGAGCATACTGCTGTAAACCCCGAAGTCACCACCTCGAAGAGCACTGATTCAGCTCGAGAGGAGCGGCGACTAGCATGCGAATACATGGCTCAGGTGATGATACAACTGATTGCCGAGAAGAGGCAGCATGCTAGTGAATCAGATTTAGCCGAGGGAGTTCAACACAACGAGCAACAGAAGCGACAACAGTATGTCATCGACCTGGTTGATTCCAGTGGTGAAGAGTTTGGGCAGCAGGAACAAGCTTCCGATATCGTTGTTGCGAGCGACAATCAGGGCTCTATTAACGAGCTGCTGATACGTGATTTAAGCGCATTTACGACTACTACTACGAATTTCACCAGGCCTGTGCACAACCAATGCGAAATAGTCGCTCGTGTTGAAAGCAACTAAACGACACCATGTGCAATGCAGCATAGAGATTTTAAACCCTGTCGCGAAGTAAAATTAATGTTCTTGCAGTACCTCGCAAAATAAATGCTTTGGCACAATTCCGGTCATGACACCCGATTTTTTCGTGAAACGGCTATTTTTGTGTTAAGATTTGGTAGCAAAAAACATTGGTCAAAATCAACCGGGACAACATCACGGGGGATGTGAGCACTTTCTCAATGCAGTAAATGAACTGATATATTGATATAGTAAGTTTTCTCTCAGCTTAAATCTTCCACGTGTTGTTTCTGAATGAGCGCACTAGACCGTTGTCCTTAAGTCGAGCGATGTGATCTTGAACGAGTTCTTTGTTTGCTGTACGCTGGTCTTGACCAAGTCTTTTGAGCAAATACTTCACCTTACAACTTTCGTTTTGATCTTCGTTTATAGCCGACTCAACTTCCTAATTCGTTGTACTTTCCATCAGGAGGGATCGATTGTTTGACTTCAGCCTAGAGTTCGTTTCTTTTTGTCGGTATCAAGAGATCGGTTTGCATATAGATCACTATTCGGATTGAGCTTGAGCGCGGTTTTTCTGTCTTGTACTCTCAGTCACCACTCGTTCGACTTGTTCTGGGGGCAAAACCTTCTTCATGAAGACGAGAAAATTACTTGACAAATGGTTTGGTGGTTGTAAGTTGTCTCTCTTTCACCTTCATGGGGTGAAACCTGTTGAAATTTCTGTAGGTTCCTGAGTAATGTAGCCCTAATTCGTTGTGTACGATGCGTAGCAGCACGCACCTTCGCAAGTCAAGTCTGAACCATGTTCAGACTGGAGTCGTTCACAACGACTCGGAACCCAGGGCCCGGGCTCTTTCAACACCGTCGGTGGAAGGGTGTTGCCGCATTATCG